AACTAACCTGTCAAATCATATTTTATTTAATAGAGTGCAATAATACAGACACTTGACATGTGTACTCTTGAACATATTCATTCTCGTCTGTCTACACGTTTTCTCTCCAAAAGGGATGACCAACAAAAAAAGTCTTAGTATTCATTTAAAACAGTCACCGCCATCTTTGATCTCCTTTCACATTGTCATTTTGTGGCTCCTATTTATAGTATTAGTTTTGACATATGCGGGTCAAGCAATGTGAAACGTTAGGCCACAAATAATTAATTTGATATGAATTAATTGATTATTTATAAATAATTAATTCACCGCCACCTTTGACAACAAAGCCATCTTCTATCACAATGTTTCACATCAAACATTGTACGATGTTCGAATTGGTTGACATCGCCTAACCCTAGTTGACAGCAACAAAAACAACTGAAAACACAAGCAACATGCACATGCAAGAAGCACGGTTATATCCCGTGTGTGTTTTGTTTACATTCACTTCTTTTTCCTACTCTCTTCATTGTGTGCATTCTTATTTTACTCTTAGGTTCTTCAATCTCTCCTCTCCATAACCATAATATTTGATATTTTTTACTTAATTTTGTTCTAAATTAGAATAGTTCATGTTTTGTTTCTTCAAATGTAATTAGTTTAGTTTGAGCATCATGTGCTAAAGAATTTGGGTTTACTTCATTATTTTGTCATTAGTAGTAATGTTAAAAGGATTGTTTTTTTTTCTTTTCTTTGCTTTGCCTTGTGCTCCTATTTTTATTTATGCTAAACTTTGTACATTTCTTCCTTTTGTTATTGTTGTTGATTTGTTTATTTCCAAGTATTTTAAATTGAATTAAATAAAAATGTTATTTGACATATTTTTTAACAGTTTGTCCAAAATCAAAGTATTCCATACATCTTGAAATAAAACCATTGAGGATAAAAATACAATAAAGCCCTGGGCTTGTTTCCATTGTGGTCCTCGCTGATAATAAAAATAAATAAATAAATAAATAAATAAATAAATAAATAAATTAATTAATTAATTAATTAATAAATAAAAAAAACTAAGAATGGCTACAAAATACAGTTAATGCATAAAACAAGCAGTACCTCCACATTTTAAAACAAGAACAAAATTATTCACAATACAATAAAATAAACATATAACATAAAAAAAACACCATCATCCACCATGCAACCATCTGCATTCAGACCCAGGATTCTAGAAGGAGAGGAGCCTTCCTCACTTACAGCATTTATATAAACACGATTAACTTTTCAATGATATAACAAAATGTTGTTATATATTATGTATAATTAGGAACAGTCTATCGTATATGTAATAGTATTAAATACTTACTGTTTATTTCTTTGCATTTTAACTTTGTAAACTATAAAATCATGGGTCTCACATTTTGTATCAAGATTATGCAGGTTTTTGTCTTGAGCTGGTGAGCCAACTGACAAAAGCCTTTCTTTTTCCCCTGCTCTGTCGGCCACTCAGCTCACAGCGCTCAACTCCCATCATGAAGCATTTTTTTTATTTTTTTTTATTCCTAAATAGACTTGAACTGTAAGAGTGGGGTTTCATGGCCCTTTAAGTCTTTTATGTCCTTGATCAATTTTGGTAATTTGTTCCACATGATTGCACTGGTGTATAAAAACATATTTTTCTTTAAATAAACAAATATTAAAATCCCAACCGCTAGTACTATATGAATGCTGTTGCCTCACCATTTGAAAATAGCTCACCAAATAACTAGGAACCACACTAATAAATATTTTACGTATTTTTAAAAAAACATGCTTTTAGTAACGGTTAAGATACCTAAATTCTTAAAAAACTCTGTGTAAATGTGTTGTATGATGATTTTTTTTTTATTATCTTTACTAATTTGAGTAAAGAATGCATAAATTCCTCCTCGATTTTATTTCTTTATTGGTCTGTGTAATATTGTTTGTTGTTGTTGAGGGAAGAAGACAGGGTCGGCGATTCAGGTAAGCAAATGGCTTTATTAATTTTTAAATGCCACCACACATGTAGCAGTGTGTGTGTGTGTGTATATGTATGTTCTCTCTCTCTCCCCGGCTGCTCCTTCTCTTCTCCTTAAGAAGGCTGTCTCTCCGGCTCAATCACTAGAATAAGCAGGTGTTATTTATTATTTCTGATTGGCCTGCTGATTAGCCGCCGGGCTCTGAGCATGCTCTCCCCCTTCATTGGGTGTTTGATCATGCTTACCTCTCCACAGTCTGTTCCAAACAATATTCATTGGCTTTCTTAAATGTTACAATATCATACTGTTAAACATGTAACAAGCTCATACATTACACTCAAACTTAGATAAACTACTTATAGCGCATGAATACTGTGCTGATGACAAATTCATATGCAGAACACTAAAGTATACCTTAAATTAGAGGTCATTTCCTAAATAGTCACCTTTGTTTTGTCAGTGTGTATTCTTGCCCATTAAAAGTGTTGATTTATTTTGACACATAATCACCATGGAGAAACATTACCCAAAATCCTATTGCACAAATTCTGAATAATATGACAGCACTTTGCAGTTTGGACCACAGTATTTAGCCATGAAAGGTTCATTTGTCCAAACTAATCACCTGGGTATTGTATGACTTCTGAACTTTCTGCATGAACATGACAGTGTGTCATCCATTGTGACTCTACAATTTGAGGTGAACCATAATGACTTTCCATTAATGCAATAAAACAACCAGCAACACCAAACAAGAAACCTTTACGCTTTGGTAAGAGCAGCTTCCACATGTTGAAACGAATTGAGCAACAGCGGCAGATGAGCTTGTGTAAGAGTGAGGAGGAGTTTACCTTTAGCTCTGCTGGTGTGAATTCTGGCACGCACCCAGATCTGCTGCTCAGCCTTCTCCAGTGTCAGGTCCTGGACACGCACCAACGCCCTGTCTGCCTCCATCCAGAAAAGAGAAAAAGAAAGAAGACATCAAAGACGACAGGCCTCCCCCCTTGTACACAGATCCCCACAAAAGACATTCGCTCGGATTACAAAGCCACCGGGAAGAGAGCTAATAAATATGAAACGTTACAGGGCCCCGTCTGAAAGGTGAGCATCACGTGGATAATTCTCCGATTTGGCAAACGCAGCGTCACCCTGCCTCCGCCGACTCACATTATGACTTTATTATGAGGTAGCAGAGACGGGGCGGTCCCGCTCAGCGCCAGTGAAAGTGCTCAGGGCGTTTGGCTGATCCCGAATCCACCCACATAAGAGCCTGGTCTATCTCTGCCGAGAGGAATGCTGGTGGGAGACCACTTTGTTCTGTAGCAGCGGAGCTTAAAATCTCACAGCCGGACAGTCGGGAGTAAATGTCACCCTAATTCCTCATCCCAGATTTATCTCAAACTGTTACTTAAGATTATTATGTGTGACAGTGAAGGGAGGAACATCAGGGAAACGTCAAGGGAGATCCCAAGAGCTTTAGGTTATATCTTCAGCTCCAAGACGTGCCTAAATTATCATTCTATATTTTGCATAGGAAAGCCTGTCAATCGATATCCGGTGGGAGCGAGATGCCCTCGTAAATCTTCACTTAAAGACTGAGAAGGACACTGACCCAGTTTTTGCTGGGATTGGACCATCGGACAGATCCCATAGCGATCCTTGGCAAAGTCCTGAGAGAAGAAGAGGAGAATATTAATGAAACATTTCAGTGCAAAAAAGTCTGTGTCAGCATTTATTCACCCTCATGTTGCTCAAAATGCAAAAGACTTAATATCCAGCGTGTAAAAATAAAAGTGGCCCTGGTTTAACCCTTTATTGGGCACTCATTGGAACATCTGGAGTGTTCTCATGACCTTGAAACTTGTATGACTTAAAAAATATATCATAATCAATGTCAATTAAGTTACCACATATGGTTCTTTGTCCAATGAAGAGTTAAACTGGAATTATGGGTTTTTAGTGACCCAATCACAAGTGCTCAATTAAAATGCATTATTTTTCCACATGGTAATGCTCTTTAAAGAATAAAACTTGAATTTTGGCATTTTCTTTTAGACTGTTGCCTCTGGATAAATTTCAATGGGAGGGAGACCAAATTAAAAGGATGTCAATGACAACTTAATTTTTAATTGTAATCTGTGTATTTTGGTAAAAAGAAAAGTAATTAAAGTTTGTCATGGTGTGTTTCCTCAAAAGAAGAAGAAATCATTCATGTTTATTTGAACATTTTGAACTACATGAGCACTGAAAAGTCTGAAAACAATGTGATCTATTGTGTTTTTCAGCCAAAACTAAAAATGGACAAGCTTAAAATGTTTTAAAAACCTGTTTACGCTTGTATCTAGCATCACCTACTTGTGAATGATTTACCAAAACTCTGAGTAAAATGGGTCTGATACTGTCTGAATATGTGCTGAAGCTTTTCAAACTTCAATGAAGGATGCAAAAGAACCACAAAATTGTAAAAAAAAAAAAAAAAAAGTCCTGATGAGCAGTACAAAAACAGTCACAGTTTTTTACAAGACATAATTCATTGTTAATCATCAACTCCAATAAAATGCTAATTATGGATCATCAGCAAGTTCGGTGTAATAAACAATCCAATCATTTGAAATAACTAATCTGTACATTCAAAAATAAAAAATAAAATATTTTAAAATAATAACAGCACGGCACAGTGTACAGAACTCAGACTTAAGACTTGTCTTGCTTCTAGTCCAAATATCTAAAAAAAAAAATTAATTAAATCAGGAATCAATTTATAATCAACCAAAAAATATCAGCTAGTTTTCAGAAAATGTAGATAAGACAGTTTTTAATTAAAACAATCAAAATAATCTGCAGAAAAGCCAAAAAATGTATATATTTCAAAGTGAAAACTAGATTATTTTGCTTACCCCAATGGCAGATTACTTTAATTATGCTAAGGATATCTTATATCTTATCTTACTTAATTGTAACTTATTTTTACTGAACCCAAGACAATAATTTGTACTTGTTGTAGAAATGCTTACTGATATAAAAATTAAGATATTTAGACTAGAAACAACAAGACAAAAACAAAAACAAAGCATTTCTGCAGTGTGTAATGAGTATGAAATGCCAAGAAGGTGAGTACATAAAACAATTTTTACTCTCTTCATGCTAAAACAGTAAGGAGTTGTGATATTCAGAAGGAATAAATGTGCAATACTTACATCTTCCTCAGTTTCCTGCTGCTCTGAGGCCTGAATCAAAGACAGGAACTGATTTCAATAAACTTCAACAGTAGAAGGAAAACAGGCACTCAGTAAGGGCTAACATCAAGATCAAACATACTGATTATATTTTGCACAGACACTGCAAGTTCGCTATAAAATTGGACTACAAATGCTGTCCTTTTTAAAGTAGTGCTAAAGAAATTATTTAAATAAATGTCAAACAAAGTACACATTGTGAACATTTTTTTCTGCTGATGTTTCATAAAATTTGTCAAATTTTTAATGGCAATTTTAATAAAATAACTTTACATTTGGGTTTCTTTTTTGTACATTAGACTGAAGTGTTAAGCTTTTTTTCTGATTTAAAATTTTTCCACCGTGATTTACAGATGTCATTCAGAGTTACAATATATTATATACCAAACAAAAATCTTGTTAGGTATGTTTAGGACAATAATCATTTGATGACATATTAAAAGACTCTATTTGGGGATCCCAATGCAAAAATTAATTACCTGTCATTTTAAATCTTTGATTTTGGCCACTATCCTTCAAATCCTCTAGGTTTTACCTCATTTTCTGTCAGATGTTTTAATCATTTAGTAGGGATGAGAATATTTTTTGCTATGCTAGGCTTGACGGTGGCGCCGTGGGAAGCACGATCATTTCACAGCAAGAAGGTCGCTGGTTCGAGCCCCAGCTGGGTCAGTTGGCATTTTGTATGTGGAGTTGGCATGTTCTCCCAAAGTTTACATAGGTTTCCTCTGGGTTTTCCCCACAAGTCCAAAGACATGCAGTACAGGTGAATTGAATAAGCTAAATTTGCTGTGTTGTATGTGTGTGAATGAGAGTGTGTATAGGTGTTTCCCAGTGTTGGGTTGCAGCTGGAAGGGCATCCGCTGCATAAAACATATACTGGATAAGTTGGCGGATCATTCCACTGTGGAGACCCCTGATTAATAAAGGAACTGAGCCAAAAAGAAAATGAACGAATTAATATCTGCTTTGCTGAATGGTGATGGAAAATTATTTCACCCGTATAGTCATGCCATTTAACGGTAATTTGTCAAGTTATTAAAAACATTGAAGTAGACACTTTACTTGCATTTAATATGCTACACACCACTAAAATTACTTTCAAAATTGTATTTAATGTTGAGATAAAAATGAAATGTTACAGTTTATGCATTTCACTCATTCATAAGTTTTCAATTTACTGTAATTGTTTGGAACGTTTATTATTCTCATATTTTCTATATATTTTACATACATATAATTTTATATATGTCATACATAATTACTTTCCCTGTTTCTAGATTTATTTTTTATTTTTATTAACTTGTTTGTGAACCAACTTCTCAAATAAATTTGAGGAAATAAGTAAAAACAAATACAAACTGTACTTCTATCCATCTTTTAGTCTCTAAAAATGCATTATTTGATCAAAAGAGACTAAGGCATTTATAATGTTTCCAAAGAATTATATTATTTTCCATTACATTACATTACATTACATTATATTATATTATATTATATTATATTATATTATATTATATTATATTATATTATATTATATTATACCAAACTATTTAGGCAATATGTTTCCAAATACCAGAAATAAGAAATGTTTCTTGAACACCATGATTTCGAAAGCATCATGAAACACTGAAGACTGGCTTATGCAATTTCGGTGGCTGAAAATCCTGCTTTGCCACCACAGGCAAAAATATACAAACTATGCCAAATCTATGCCTCTGCTTCATTCCCTTCAAATGAAATAAGACCACAAAGAAAACAAAATACGCTATTTCCTTGGTTTGGATGTTTAAAATGTTGGAGAAATATGCAAAAATGCCATTCTTTTTGGACACATAAACAGTTTTGTGAGTGCAGGAAATGCGAAACAATAGCAGGCGGGGGATTGATTGGTGGGCATGACTGCACTCACCAGCTTGGCCTGCTTCTCTGCCTTTTTCGCCGCTTTCTCTGCTTCCTTCTGCTGTTTCTTCAGGGCTTTCTTGGACTGGGCCTGCTGCTCCTCCTCGCCGCCTCTGGAACAGGAAGACACCACACAACAAAAACAGCTCTGTCAAACTTCCATCTACCTTTTTCTTCTGTTTCCTTCCGGGAAGCTTTTCTGATAGACTGGGAAAAAGCATTCCAACCCAGTTCACACACACACACACACACATGCACACATACAGGCACAGTGTCCCGCTGGCGTTTAACGTTGCTGTGTCTTTCATCTATTGTTTAAAAAAAAAACAACAGAGGCTAATTTAGACTTTCATCAGTGATGTTTGCTTGTTTGTGCTCTCCTGTGGTTTAGACAGTCCAGTTATAGCAGTACAGGAAGAGTGATGTCTGTCTACAGTAACACATGCAAAATCATTCAGACGATATAGCAGAGGTGTGCTGTAATGGTTAAGAGTGGCTAAGAGAATGAGCAGCTGAGCACCTGGAAATGACAGCATTGCTCAATAATAATAATAATAAAAAAACATAAGAAATACAATAATATTTGCAGTTAAAGTGGTCTTTGATTAAAACTTAAACTTTTTAAATGTAGTCAGGGTTCAACGCTTAAGGATTTTTTCTACTGGTCTGATCGGGCAAGTGGTTCAGATTTTTACTTGCCCTGCCAAAATTTTCCCTGGCCCCACCAAAAAAAAAAAAGGGAAGTTAATAGCTATGTTTTAGCCACATATTTTAAATAATGTGTCAAAAATAAAGTTTGCAAATCTAGAATTTCAATACTTAAAAAATTGTTAATAAAAGTGTTATGCAAACAAAAAGAGCAGTATAGAAAATGTGGAGGTATTTTATTGCGGTTTGAAATTACTTAACTAAAGGGGGGTGACTTGTCAAACTGACGGCAAACTTTGCGAAACATCACTTAATTTTTTTGTTGCGATATTCACACGTAAATGTCGGCTTCCAAGACGTTATAGAAACAGACATTTTCTTTTAGGCTTATAATTTGATGTTGCTGCCATGTTGCTGTTTCTTCGCTGTACTGGTTGTTACCAGGTTACTAAAAAAAAATAGCATGCTCAAAACGTCAAATCAGAGAAGAGGAACCAGAAAGCAATACGACATCACAGAGAAGATAACATTTAAAGACTTAAAAGCACAAACTTAAAATGCACGCAATTGAAAAATAGTCGCAGACAAATTAAATGTTAGTGACAAGGCAGCACTGTCTCAATCGGGCCAGTAACGATCCTGTCTACTGTCCCAATCGTCTCTCACGCTGGCCCTGGGCCACCGGACAGTCCTTATTGTTGAGCCCTGGTAGTTGATGCGTAATAATTGCTTTATGCACATCTTACTGGGAAAAAAAACAATCGTTCGAGGCATTTTATTCATTATTTTATACCATATTATAATGATCACTGACCAAATCACTGACCAAAACAAAACATTTTTAAAATCAACTTAAAAGACTCCCTACCACTAAAATAACAACAAGAAATAAGCTTACCTACTACAAAAAAAATTAAATGTTTAAAGACATGTGTCCTAATAACACAAAAATGCAATCCATTCCTTTGAAATGGCATTGCCCTTAGGCATTAACACCTGAGCCCATGGGTCACCAGATTAGGTCAGACACTTGGTTAACCAAGTCCATTAACCAAGTGAGTCCAACATTTACCAAGAACACCATCCATCCATCATTACTTAACATGGCAGAGATGGATTACCAACCAGTATTTAAAACAAACACAATCACAGAATAACTCAAACAATATATAAACTGATCACAAGAAACCAATCTAAAGGCAACTCCAATCCTTTGTGATCTCCATTACTATTTTAAACCTTCAGCACACATGCTTTCTGGTTAACAGGACTTTAAATGCATCCAATTCTAATCACTCATTGCTTTTGGACAACTTTAAAATCTGGTCTCATATTAAGGACATTAGATATGGGATAGCAATGAATGACACCATTTAGGTACTAGTGCAGTTTTATTTAAAAATGTTTATACTATGTTTTAGAAAAATCTCCAACCACGCTACGTTAATGCAAACTAGCTAGACGATTAATCAAAATGAAGCCACAAACATAATTGAGCAAAGCTGTTAGTCATACACGTCTTGTCAAGAAAGAACAGTTGTGTGCTCAGTAGTAAAAATGCGAAGGCCATGAGCGCTCTTGCATGAAAAAAATACAATCACCCACAAAGAAACCCAGGAAATCCCCAGACCACTGCTTTGATAAAAACAATAAAAAAATTAACCGCTTTCATTGATCCAGTACAAATAATAATCACACAACTAGGCATGGGCCCGTGTAAGTTTCGGATGGTATGATAACAATGGATAAAAATATGATTACTGCACAAAAAAAAAAAGTTCTTTCTAAATGCCAACAACAACTTTTTTACCCCATTGAACACAATATATGCTACTTTAGAAAACACTTAAAATATTTTAGAGCGGTAAACATGTCACGCTCTGCTGTCTTCATTAATTTCAAAAACAGATTTCTTTACAACACATTAAAAATAAAACCTTACATATACCTTTGTAACAGACAATTCTAGTGGTTTTAAAACCTTGACTTTTCCAAACCGCTGCAAACCTCGAAACAGGTTACCATCCCATGCCTACACACGACTATGGAATTATCTGCCAGAATTATTTATTTTATAATAATAGTATTTGCTAATAATCAAGATAATGGTAAAACATATATAGATAAATATGTAAACACACCATAAACCTGTACAGATTGAATACAATGTATTCATTAAAAACTACATTTCCAGTATTGAATTGCTTTGAAGAAAACATGTCATGTTTACGTAGGTTTCTTTCACTGAAGTATTTGACTGTAATTTAAGTACTCAAAAGAAAAAGGATAAATATGTGAAAATGTGTACTATAATATACAAATAATAATGGCAATTGTTATAAACAGCAAAGAAATATTATGCAAGGCATATAAATGTTTTTTTGTTTTGTTTTTTTTTTTTTAATAAAGCTAAACAAACATCTCACATTTGGAACAGATGAAAATTTTCCATAATATTTTAGCAACCAAATACAACAAATTCAGAAACAACACTTTAAAAAGTGACCAAATTCAGAAACAATACTATAAAAAGTGACCAAATACAACAAATTCAGAAACAACACTATAAAAAGTGACCAAATACAACAAATTCAGAAACAACACTATAAAAAGTGACCAAATACAACAAATTCAGAAACAACACTATAAAAAGTGACCAAATACAACAAACAACACTAAAAAAGTGACCAAATACAACAAATTCAGAAACAACACTATAAAAAGTGACCAAATACAACAAACAACACTTAAAATAGTGACCAAATACAACAAATTCAGACACAACACTATAAAAAGTGACCAAATACAACAAATTCAGACACAACACTATAAAAAGTGACCAAATACAACAAACAACACTAAAAAAAAGTGACCAAATACAACAAATTCAGAAACAACACTATAATAAAGTCAACTTGAATACTAAAGTCAACTAAAATAAAGTCAACTTGTAGCTTAAGGCAACTAGTTTACTCACTTTTTAAAGTAACTAATCACTTTTATCAGTGAAGGCTTTGTGCAAATGCTGGGCTGTTCATTTTAAAATGACACACTAGTGTAAAAATAACCCTAATCTGAAACCAAAAGGGTAACAGGTGGTCAATATTACCATGAGCAAGACAAGCCTGTGCTCCTCCTCCAGACATTTAACACACTTTATTATTACACTAATTGCAGCACAAACAGAGAAACGAAGAATCAGCTGCATAGTTCTGCTCTTTATCCAAACCCTGATCTACAAAGAACCCCCAAAAACAGTGTAATCTGGGCAGGCGACCATATGGCAGCCCTCAGGCACCAGAGGATCAAGTGCCTGCACACAGAGAGCAAGAGAAGTTTAAACACAATGGATCAGTGATATCTTCCTCTGCAATACCGCTTGCCAACACAAGAACAGAGCCGCCGCGGGCACCACTGAGGCTCAACCGTGCCAAAGTGGGCAATAAACAATCTCAACTCCCCCCTTTGCATTATGCATCGGCACGAATGGACATAAAGGGCCACGGTGAAGGTATGCGTGGCACGGAGTGTTTTTCTGGGGAATTCATGGATGATGGTTCCCCAAAGCATCGCTGCAATTTCTGCTCACAGGAAATTGGAAGCAGTGGGGCAGAGAGAAGAGAATGAGAAGGCTGCCGATAATTAAAGGCCTGTGCCAAGTTTGGGGTTATGTATTTACACAGAAACACAAGGCTCGGGGCAATGCTGGGATATAAATTGAAGGGTGGAGCTTTCGGATGCCCTCTACACCACCGCAGACAGCAGCTGTTATCATGTGACTCATCAGATTGTGGTTTATATATTAAATTATTGTCGGTGCAGTTCACATATCCTTGCTGTTGGCGGCACATTGTTGTTGTTATTAAAATAGATTGTAATGATGGTAATTTAATGTCTAATAATTAAAGTGAAAAGATTATTTGGTTTGAGTTATTGACTGCTTTTCTTTTATTTTAATTAAATTTCACTTTCACTTTGTTTTTTGAAACTAAAAATAGGTCCAATGCTGGGTTGGAAAGCTAATTTTTTTGCTCATTTTAGTTTAGGCATTTTTAAAAATTAAATTTATATAACTTGTACAATTATATTTTTCTTTATTATATACCAGTTAAAAGTTTGAGGTAAGACATTTAAATGTACCGGGGTATGGAAAAAAATAATAATTATATAAATATAAAGTGCTGAGGATTATTGAGTACACCCCATTTTAAAAATGAATATTTGTATACATTTCAAAACAGATTTATTAAACAGACATATTTAATAAAATAATATGTTAGTCACCAACCATATTTAGATATAAAAAGATAATACGATTAAATTCAAGCAAAATATTGCAACTTTCAACTAAAATTTCTTTTTATTTATTCTCTTTATTTTTTTCTCTGTTTAAATTTGTATTTGCTATTTTTCTTTAACATAAACTTGGATGTACTAGTTTTTGGACCGTTATCATAAGTTATTTAGTTAAATAAGCTCCAGAATTGCCTTCAGCATTGTTACAGACTAATCTAATGTATATGCACAAATATATTATTGTAAAGCTTCCTATTAAAATATAAATTTAAAATATAGATTTGTGAGGGGTGTACTTATATATCCTGAGCACTGTATGGACAGACAGACAGACAGACAGACAGACAGACAGACAGACAGACAGACAGACAGACAGACAGACAGATAGATAGATAGATAGATAGATAGATAGATAGATAGATAGATAGATAGATAATGCTTGTGAAGAGTGTAATGCTTGTAAGAGTGAAAGTAGAACAATGTTCAAAAATATTTTCTTCAAATGCATAATCTTTACACACACACACACACATAAATACGTATTATCCATATACATATATCTATCTATCTATAATCTATTTATGTGTTCATTTAATTTTATTCATAGCTTAATGTTACCTAAAGATTATTAATTGCATTTTTCCATTAACATATTACAAATATTTCTTTTCAAATCTTACTCCATCCTTACTTTAGCATTGCTTGTAAAACAAAACGTTTTAATTTACTAACGTTACATAAAACTCCTTATACTATCCATATGTTTTATTTATGAACTATAATATTATTCCCCACGCCGTAAGGACGTGATAGTCTTATTTGCGTTAGCAAAACAAAATCTCCAACTAAGTTAGTAGGACAAGATACTTCGAAGTGAACACAGTAGCAAAAGATTATCTCGCACGTCTGATTGTCTCTTCAACTCTAACAATAAGCATACACAGTAATGTTGAGCTGTCATCGTTAAAGAGCTGTGAACTGCTGATGCAATCAGCTGCAACTCTATAAGACTATTAGCAAGCAGCAGGACAAGCTAATGAAAGCCCAAACCAGCACTTCTATACATTCGCAGAAAACAACGAGACTGATTTCTCACCCTTGTACATTTTCTTTAGTCATAGTTCGGCTCTGAAGGGATGTGGTAGACAAAAAGCACTAGATATTAAGGTTTCTGTTGTGTTAGTGTGCAGTGACAGCCACAGCAGCGCTGGACATGTGGAAAAGAGGTGGAACTATTTTGCTGTTACACATTCAAGACTTCCTTATCGAATCCGTGCAGAACAAGACACCGCGTAAAAGGTTCCTAGTGATTATTTTATCCGCACGCTCTCTGTGTGAAATTTGTACAAATGTAGATTTTACTCAGACACTTGATACATTTCTCAGATCAAAATGAAAATTCTCAAAACTGCCTGTTCAGTCTGTTACTGTAAACTGTATTGTCCCCTTTTTGTTCTGCAGTATAATTGATTTAAAACACATATCCTACCAAACACTTAATACAAACATTAAGACCCTTAAGTTACCCGTCATATCGCGCGTCCACTTGAAGAGGTAGGGGTGTCCTAATTCTCTTTAGCTTGAAGATGTAGAGCTAAGGGGAAATAGATACCCCTGGAAAGAAGATTTTTCAGGACCACACTCGAAACCAAGGTAAGAAAATTTCCAATACACCAGCTACAACTGCAGGGCAGCACACAGATGTAAAGAGATGCACTCATCAGTATTTTTGTCATCAATACCAATTTTTACAACAAAAAAACTACTTATGTTGAAATAAATTCATAACTGTGTTCGTGTGTTAAAATACAAACGCTAAATTTGGCTATCTATAATCCATAAACTCCTGTATAGTATTCCACAACATTATGTCACTCGATGACACTCAAATACCCTTTCAGAAAAATCTAGTGGCTGGGAATGAGCTTTTTACAGTGTCTGCTATAATATTATTGTGTGTGGCCACGTTGTAAATGTGCATAGTTACAATCTTATTGCCACTTTATATTTTTTATGTTAACATAATATATGCCTTCAGGGATTTCCTAAACATAAATACCAAAAAATAATGCAAATAGAATAACTACAGCAGTCGCGATCATCGATCTCATCTGAAACAACAGAACACAATGGCATATGATGACATATGCATGTGCTGTGGTGGTGTTCCAATTCTTAGGGGTAAAATTTGAAGCCCTTCCTTTTCACACTCGGTTTCAAGCACCAATGGGAAGGGGAAGGGGTACAAAAATAGAATGAGGATTGGTACAAAAAAATGCTATTGTTTATATCAGAACACCCCTTCAGAGTGCACTTTTATATTAACAGCACGACTAAGTTATTTTGACTTTCTCATCCGTACACAATGGCACAAAGATTTGTTATTTTGACAGCACTAAGTGACATGTTTATTAACACAGAAATGCAGTTTTGAGAAATGAACTAAGGATTTTGAGCAAGAGACTGCTTTTGCAGGCAATCATTGATGTTTTGCTATTTGTACACATTATTTTGAGAAATGCATTTACTGTTTTGCAAATTTTAAATGCGATCTGAGTAATGCACCAAAGCTACTGAGAAAAACTGTAAAATAGCACTGAAGTACAGTTAATTATTTTTTTAAGGCATTGTGTACGGTATAGATTGACACATCACAATAAAACAGGCTCTTGATGTGACATTTACTTTGGTAAAAAAAATGTAGAAGCTTAGTAATGTTTCACATTTTGCACACCTATTTACATGTAAAATTTTATGTTATAGATTTGTATATCACAGAGATTTGACCGTAACTAAGAGGAGACCTTTGTCCTTTCTATAAAACAAGTTAGGAGAATACATTTATTGTAACCAAAAAATGTCAGTGAAGGTTGAACTAAAATGACAAATTTGGGAAAAACTGTCCCTTTACCATACGGTTTTCTAACATTTTATTGAATTAAATGTAAACTCTTCGTCTCTAAACAAGTACACACAATTAGGCTAGGCTATACGAAATCATTGGAAGAATCATCAGGCAATCAATAACCTAAAAGCAGCCTTTGTCTTGAGTTAAAGACCACCAGTTCTGTTTGTTCTATTCAGTGGTTTTATGTAGGGCTATAAAGTCTTTCATTGGTCACAGGAGGTCCTGATTCAGGAAGCTTCCTTCCCCATCCTAATTTTCCAGCCAAAACAATGTAAACATAATAATAAACTAATAGCAAGGAGGAGGAAATACAGTTTAATCAACCGTCTGTGCAAAACCACTTCCTTGGCAGCTTTATGCACATCTACAAACAGGTCAATCACATTTCCGACCAAATTTGGGAAGCAGCTTGCTTTAAAAAAAGTAGATCATTTTACGTTTACAGTTTCAAATTGAGTATGTAAAGCATAGTCAACTTATATTAAAACATTTTCAGTTAATTAATACTTTTTTTTGTATATAGCTTCTCTAATGAATGATTCAAGTGATGTTTTCAAGTAGCTCCTTTCCATTTCTTCCTCATAGTTATTTCGTTCTTTCATTTTTCCTCCCATTTAAAACATCAATTATTAAAAGGATTGGTGTGTCTGGATGCACTTAACATCTGCTTTTAACCTGTAATGTGCTTGGCTGAAGGTTTGTCTGAGTTTTAATAACAGGGTTTTACCAGCTGATTTCCAGAAGCTCCTTTTGGCTGCTCTCTCTTCAAATGGCTGTCTGGAGATGGTAGAGAAGGTCCAGCTGAGCTCAATGGAGTGTTAATGGTGTGGCGTGGCTTTTGAGAACTGCTCTCATGCTAATGACCAAACCATTCCAAAACATTTCCAAATGAACAAAACGCAGCACTGTATGCTCTTTTTTCACCGGCCTCTTACTGTGAGGGCAGACAGTGAAAAATACCATAAAACTTAATGCATGATGCAGGGAGCTTCACACCTCATTGAGCTCTTTAGAAATGATAATTTCAGCCCAGTGTGTTAAACATGAGTCAGGTCATTACAATGGAAACCTTGCGAATATCTATATTCTACCCATATCGTTTCTTCTGGGCTGCTTACCTGCTACTGTAACTAATTATTATTCATCGCACTTGTAGACCACATCCTGGTGATTGGCATATGTACAATAAAACTGCAGCCAAAAGCGCAGAAGTGCAAGACATTTATTAACAGTAACAGGCTGAGTTATGAAAGATTAAATTTTCCTTTATTCTAAGTTGACATTAGATGCAAAATATAAAATGACTGCTTATTTGTGTTTTTTCCTAACATAATTTGCGAGATATGTATGTAATTTACACCCCACTTTTATTAAAAATATGTTTATACAAGCTTATATATGCTTATAAATACTTGCAAAATACTTTATTGCAGCAATACTTTTGTTTTGTTACTTTTCTGCTGTTTTGCTACTGTCCAGACTACTGTTTGTAAATACAGTAATTTCCAATATATCTCTCATTGACATTGCAGTATCACATTACATTATAAATAAAATTGTTTGTGTATCATGTCTTGAATCCTGCGTTTGGGTGTCATATATTACCAATCAAGCTTTGCATGTTTTCAAAACATTTTTGCATTTTCAACATTTTTCAGCTTTTTATTATTTTTGTTTTATTAAACATATGCCTTTAAAATCTTTTTTGCTTCTTTTTTTCCTGTTTTTTTATTTTTTATTATTAAACTAAGTGTTGGTCATATGACAATAATCACTATGCTGTTATATTAAAAACAATTATTATTATTATTATTATTATTAACAAATAATGTTAGTTTTTACAAGAATAAAATGTTTATATTTTTCTGTTAAAGATACCATGTTTAATTTTTTCACTATTTCACTTGATTTGTTTTTGATTGTTGTTTTTTCTTACTCGATTTGTTTTTTGTTTTGTGACTTTTTTTCATAAAAAAGATGCAAAACCAATTTTGCGTAACAAGTTGTTTGTGCACAATTTATAAAGCCCATCTTTGTGTATAGTAAAAGTAAAACACAATAAGTCATTATACTAATGAAAACCGGAAGATAAAACATGTTTAGTTGTCTTCTTTAATATTTAATATGTACATTTGTGCAGATATTTTTGTATTGTGGCATAATTTTCATGACAATTTTACACCCTATTTGCATTATTTAGATTTTTTTTAACTGCAATACTATAAGAAATTACTATAATACTTTAAGTAGAATCTTAAGTAAAAAATAACTGCTATAATCTATTTTTTCACATTTATTATACATAAATGAGCATTTTGTAGATTTTGTTTAAATTAACTACCTTACTAATATCTTTCATGTTATATGATACAACAACTGAAAACCCAAAGGATGGCCAATTCTGTCTCTTTGTAGGTTGCTGGGTGTCTTGTATCAGCAGTTGCTTAAAACGCTAAAGAACACAGATGTTCTTAAAATTACAGACCCTCTCCTCAACCATTCTGTTCAGTGGGAGATCAGGTGGAGCTTTTGTTTTGGTAACTTGACAGACCTTCACTTCAGCTCTACCAACCCCCACTCACAGATTGGGGCTGTGTTTCTGTATGTGTGTGTGTTTGTGTGTGTGTGTGTGTGTGTGTGAGAATGGCCACTGGAGAGATGTAAGACAACACTAGATCAGACCTCATTAAAAGTGTTGATTTTTAGGTTTTATTATGAAATGGAAGTTAAAATGCGTCAAAAATGTGACAATTAAATTACAAAACTCAACATTTAAAAAGGTTTTTACAGTGTGAGCTACCATTTTAATAAATATAAAAAAGCTAAACTGAGTTGGAAAAGCTAAGTGCACACATACACACATTCACAATGGCAAACAATGAACTATGTACAAATAATTTACACTACGCGTTGGGAATCAAACAAAAGACTATGCTAACATTCCTGATAAGACCTTCAGCAAGAATACAGACTTTGTCAAGGCTCAGCCTTTAGGTCTGGCAATAAAAGTACAAACATGTACATAAAAAAAAAAAAATTTTAAAATATGTTTTAAAGCTGAATAAAAACAAAATAAAAGTCTTACAAAATAAAAGTCATCAGATCAACACAAAAATACTTTACAATGTACAAAAACTGTAGTAAAGTCCTGTTTTTATAAGCTTAATCATCCATGTGGAAAAGTTTTTTTCTTTTTTTATATGCACACACTAACTCGTCAGTGCACTGGACGACTCTGATTCAGTAGATACAGATGATATAGGCCCCCTTTTCTTGGTCAGCATCTTGTGACTGGATCTACTGCTGATGCTCAGAGCGTTACGGGCAGATTTACTGAACCTGACGCCTAGGAAAGCATAAAGGATAGGGTTGAGACAGCAGTGGAAATATGCCAGCGCCTCCGTAAAGAAGATCCATTTCTCCAGACCCTGTTCCAGGAAACAGCTGTGAGATATGACGTTCAGCATAGTCAAAGCGTCCACCAGGATGCCGGCACAGTAAGGCAACCAGCAGATGAAGAAGCAGAGGATGAGGATGACGGTGGTCTTCAGTGCCTTCCTCTTTAGAGTCTGACCCTTGGAGTTCTTGGACAGTTTTGAGATGATGATACAGTAACAGGTCAAAATGATCAAACCAGGCAGCAAAAAGCCAATGATGATGTGCTGGAAGCGGAAAACTGCTTTCCAAATGACATTGGCCTCCTGCGGGTAAGTAAGCTCGCAGATGGTACCCATGCTCGAATTGTGGATTTTTGCAAACACCAGATCAGGAATGGTGAAAAAAGTCGCTGGAAGCCAAACTCCAATGTAGATCACCCTTCCCGCAAGCAATTTCCTTAAGTTTTGGCTGTTTGTGGCACGTACTACTGCAAGATAGCGGTCCAGGCTGATAAAGGCCAGGATGAGCACGCTGCTGTACAAATTCAGAGTGTAGATCATGTTGACTGTGACGCACAGAAATCCCCCAAAATGCCACCCGCTGACTGCATCGACCGCCCAAAATGGCAGGGTGAGGACAAACAGGAGGTCTGCGATTGAAAGGTGCAATCTGTATTTGTCTGTCATGTTCTTTGACTTCTTCTGGAAGCCCATCACAAGCACCACAAGTCCATTGCCAATGATTCCTAGGACAAATATAATCCCGTATACTGTAGGGAGGAAGATCTTCTGGAAGTCATTGCTGACTGAGAGGTCGCAAAGTTCTTCTCCATCATAGTCCCCAGAACCGGAGTCAGAGCTGTTGTCTAAAATGATGCTCTGCAGAAAAAAGAAGGAAAAAAAATCAGTATTTTGATTAACTTTTATATAAATACCACTTTATTAAGATAATACTAACAAAAAATAATAATAATTCAAGAAAACAAAATGCAAAAAAGTAAAATGGTTTTATACAAATACAAGGTTAATAATAAATGACAAAAAATAAATAAATAACTGAAAAAAATATATAGTTATTTTCCAATGCTTCCAAACACGAGCCTGAATGGTAAAACGTGACACCCTAGGGCAAGTAATAAAACATGATACACTTGAACTAGTCTTATTAATAATACTTATCAATGGAATGTCTGATAACATAGCGTTATAAATTAATCACAAGCCAACTTACATCGTAAAATTCCATTTTGTTCTTATAGGTGTGCTCAAAAAGGCGCAATAAGTCTCCACACTTTAGTCAACCGCCCTCCTCTCACAGCAGCATTTAAATAGTCCTCCGTTCCCTGAGACACGCCCAATTTTATTCAGCAGGGCGGGCTCATGATGCAGGCGGCGCTTGTGCGTTGTGGGTGTGTGGGGGGTGATGAGAGAGTAAGCGGCAGCTCTCTGGCATGTCAAAATAAACTGTGTTAAATGCATGCGCTCGAGCGGATTTTACAGAGGAAGCGTAATATCTACATGTTTATTCGGGCTAGATAGCAAAAATAGCCTATGCACAGAAAAAAACATGGTTTGAAAAACACTATTGAACAATGTTTTGAAGAAAAAATATTTTTAAGACGATTTGCTTTTCTTTACTACATGAAAAAAACGGTATAGTAGCCTAATTATAAAAAATAAAACTGTTTTTGAACTATTTTATAGTAAAGTTTATTTTATTGTAAATCATATAGTATTTCAACTTTGTTAATGAATGCTTCAGCACTGTAGAGAACTGTTCAACTGTAAAAAACAAAAGAGAAAAAAGAAAAAGGCAGTATATCCTATTTTATTTTTTACTACAGTAAACTGTAGTGTACCAGTATAGTATACCCTATTGTTGTAGAAAACTACAGCATGTCATTTGTTTATATTCCTGTTTCGTTGTGTTGCTATAGCAACTGCAGAATCAAAACAACAGATCAAAGATTACTACCACAGTTTCCATACCAACTATACAAAAACAACACCAGATCAATTTAAGTGGGCTACATTACTATAGTTTGGTTTGAAAACAATGTATTATTTACTATAGATTGCTATCATCTTAGACAGATAGATAATGAAAAAAGATGATAGATAGATAGATAGATAGATAGATAGATAGATAGATAGATAGATAGATAGATAGATAGATAGATAGATAGATAGATAGATAGATAGATAGATAGATAGATAGATAGATAGATAGATAATGAAAAAAAGATAATAGATATATGATAGATAGATAGATAGATAGATAGATAGATAGATAGATAGATAGATAGATAGATAGATAGATAGATAGATAGATAGATAGATAGATAGATAGATAGATAGATAGATAGATAGATAGATAGATAGATAGATAGATAAATAGATAATGAAAAAAAAGATAATAGATATATGATAGATAGATAGATAGATAGATAGATAGATAGATAGATAGATAGATAGATAGATAGATAGATAGATAGACAGATAGACAGATAGACAGACAGACAGATAGACAGATAGATAGATAGATAGATAGATAGATAGATAGATAGATAGATAGATAGATAGATAGATAGATAGATAGATAGATAATGAAAAAGGTAGATAAATAGAAGGACGAACAGACAGGCAGACAAACGGAAAGACAGACAGACAATCAGACGGATAGATATCTTTTATATTCAAAGTATTATTTGATGTCAATTTATTTATTTATTTATTTGCTAATTAGCTGTGCAACAAAGGGGATAATGAGCAGTCAGCAGGTCATTATCACAAATTAATTCCCTCAAGGGCAATACAAGCCACTTTGTTGTGTTGAAGTGCTGATCACCCTGCCAGGGTTTATTGTGTGTTAAAGGCTTCACAAGATCCCTCACATATTCATCTGATCATCTGTAGTGGACTTTCTCTCTCAGAAATCCCAGCAGTTTGTTTATTATCGCGTCATGTGAAGAGCAGTGTGAAGGCCGTTACTTGAGGACACATCAGGCTTTGTAGTGTAATTTACTGCATGACGGTTCTCCTCTGGTCCTTCCTGCAATATATTTAATGCTGGGCTCTGATTGTGAGTGATGAAGGAAGAAGGTCACCCAGTCGCCTCCATCATAAGCCTAAACTAACATTTCCTGACAGATCCAAACTCTGCGACTCCTAACGATGATCATATTTCTCTGAAACATGACGCGCTGATTTAAGGGAGTTAATCATTTCATTTGTGAGAGTTTGCCGAATGCGAGTTCAGAGTTGGCTAATATTTTAATTATTTATTAATTCATTTTCTATTGGCTTAGTTATTTTAATAATCTGGGGTCGCCACAGTGAAATGAACCATCAACTCATCTAGCATATGCTTTACGCAGCGGATGCCCTTCCAGCTGCAACCTAGTACTGGGAAACACCCATACACTCTCACATACACTACAGCCAATTTTGGGTGCTTTCACACCTAGACTTTTGTTTCAGAACCTGTCTCGTTTGCCCAGTTAGCGCGGTTCGTTTGGCATATGGAATTTCAGCAGTCCCGCTCAGATTCATGCCAAAACAATCGTCTGAGATTGCCTGAATGAGGTGGTCTCGGCTCAAATGAAACGAACTCTGAAGTGGATCAATTGTAGTGAGAAAGCCATACGATGCGAGCACGGTTATATCACAGTGTTTTATGGAAATGTAATACGACCAAATTCCAAACATCCCAAGTCTCCCAGAAGTTACCAGGGGGATTACGCGGGCATCCGGGAGTCTCTGTGCATTTGCGGGAGTGTCAGTGATCGGTAGCAGCTGGAAGGGCGTCCGCTGCTTAATACATATGCTGCATGGATAAGTTGGCGGTTCATTAAGCTGAAAAGAAAATGAATTAATGAAGTGCGATTAGCTTGATAGCCAATGTCAGCTGCTTTTTATTTAGTTAGTGTCATGAAGAAACATGCATCCCTAGTAGCAAAGAATTCTGGCCCAGATTTGGCAAAAAGCTGGCACAGCAGGCATTCATCCGGCACTGGCATACAGCATGTGGGCCACACATGGCCCGGGTTTGGCAGAGGTGGCACCGTTTTTAAGGCGGCACACAAGATTTGGGCCAGATAAAAAACGTAGTATTTGGCCCAGATTTAAAAATTTGATAAGTGGGCCATGTTAGTTAATTTGATTAGTGGGCCAAGCAAAACCTGATTGTGTGGGCCAGAGCTGGGCCAGAGAAATTTTCCTATGTGGGATGGATTAAAAAAAAAAATAAAGCAAATAGGAGAGCTTGAAGTTAAATATAGGATAGAGTTGAAGAGTTCAGATGCAAAGACTTCTAAGTGCTGACTGAAATTTTCTGCATTTTTGCCAGGCTTCCCTGTGCATGTTCATTAATTTCACTTGTATTGAAAAGAATAGAGGTATGGCCAGAGCCGGAGTTGGACACATTTTCAGCAATTTTTAAACCTAAGTTTTAAACCTTAGACCTGCCCACTTCAGTTCACAACTGACTATATTAAAATAACATCATTTTCAAATCAGTACTTTACAGTGAAGATTTATTTGAACAGTTATCACAATGTAATGTTCAGAATCTATTTTCTGTAAGAATAAGTGCTCATAAATATCCAAACCTTGAAATTAAAAAAACCTCAAATAAATACAAATATTAAGCTAAATATATGAAATAAAGATTAAAATTAAAAGTATTAAACTTTCTAATGACACTATCATGTCTTTTTCAAAAAAACAGCTGCTTTATCACTTCAAATATTTTTCATAAATATGAGAAAATTAAAGAGTAGCTGAATCTCCAACACTATTCTTGAAAACATCGCAGTGTCCTTTTTCTGCAATATCTGAATATATATTATGTGCAAAATTGTTTATAGATATCCAGTTCTTTAACACAATTAAATAATAGGTATTGCCAGACATTATAACCACACTATTACTTTCTAATGACGGCTTTTTCTTTATTCCCCATTTTTAGCTTTCTGATCAAGTTAAGTCAGATTTATTAATGTAGTGAATCATCTGATTTAATTGTCTCAGCCAGGGCATTTTTTCATTGAGCATTTTTAATATTCATTAATATTAATTCATTCATTCATTTTCTTTTCAGCTTAGTCCCTTTATTAATCAGGGGTCGCCACAGTGGTATGAACTGCCAACTTATACAGCACATGTTTTATGCAGCAGATGCTCTTCCAAGCAAAATCCAACACTGGGAAAATTAATATTAATAATAATATGAACTCTTCACTAAATGACAATCCTACCTGCCCATTCTAGTGTGTTGGGCTCATGACTGGTGCTTGGTAATGTTACGGGGCCTGGCTCTTCACTGTTGGCAGCAAACCGGACAAGAGGCTGCTGCTGCTGCTGAAGAGCTACAAGTAAACGTTCGGTACATAAACTGCAAACATTGTTGTTTTGCACTGCTCCTAACCAGCTAACGTTAACTTACCGGCTGTTTCATTATTTTCATGTGTTGTTGTACTCTTGCTGCTGCTGGTTTTAACAAAAAAATATACCCAGCTTTTTTTAATTCTGGCCTTTTAGTGCCACCTTTGTGCTGATGAGCAAGGTACCGCTGTTGGCCTGCAGGCTGCATTCTGCTCATGAGGCTGCAATAAAATAAAGAAAAAGAGTGTAGCTGTGGTAAAATAATGAATAAAAATAGTGAGGCTATGGTAAAATATATAAATAAATGGAAAACAAATTGAGCCTGTTGAGAGTGCAGGCAGCTAAAGCCTCCAGAAACCCCACCCGTAGACTTGAGTCCTTTGGAGTGGACATTGCGTTTTCATGAGTTTTCTTTGAATTCTTTGAGCTACTCTGTCAAGTCCTAATGTACTGTTCAGAGAACACCCTGAGTTTTTAGTGATATGTCATTTCATTGGATGGCATGCTGGGAAACACTTCTTACACTGCATCCAAAATGGCCGACTCACAAAAAAGCAAATTTTATGGGAAGGAGAGAAGTATGTAAAATGTAGTTTTTTAAATGTTTTTTTTTTCTTTTTCTTTTTTACTATTGTTATTACAAAAATTATATTTATGTATTAAAGTGTCAGGAACAATACTGTAATGAAGTTTACGGCCCTTTGGCCGCCGGGAAGAAGGAGGCGGAGAACCGACGGAGTTTTAAAATGATTTATTAATAATAATGACGGCAGCTCCTCACGGAGACTGCCATTTAAATCAAAACAAACGGACGGCAGCTCCTCGCGGAGACTGCCGTCAAACTGAAAGCAAAAGTAAAATAACATGCCCGGGCATGTCCGTCGGCTTCCTCTGCCATCG